CTAGAAAACCTCCTTCCTCAGCCCAACGTGCCGATTAGTTTAATCCTGGGTATGCGAGCAAGGCACAGCCAGCACTTGAGGGGCTGTACTGCCAAAAGGGACCCCAGTGCACCTTGCCTGCATCCCACATCTAGCTGTGGCCAGTCTCCAACTTCTCAGGGACAAAAAAAGGCTTCCACAGGCCAAGTCATACATCAGGGAAAGCAAAGTCCTTCCTGCCCCCCCCCAGGCAGCCAGGGAAACTGAAGCACAGGATTCCAGCAACGTAATTAGAGTGTAAGCAAGCAACAAGCCGGGCTTTCTTTAAACCCTTCTGATGCATCAACACATGAGATAGCCAAGGACTCATCTCTGGGAGTTCCCTGTTTGGTTACATAAACACCAACTTCAGCTTAACCCTTTCATGCTGAAGCACAGGCCACATCCCCCAGGAAAAATCCCCGCTCCGGCCCAACATCCTCACGGCAGAGGCACCTACAGCAGGGCACAGGCCAGGAGAAGAGCCTGGAAATCCAACTGCAGCACCCTGACAACACCTGAGACTGTATCGCCCTCCCAGTACAGGGCCCAGTGCACGAGTTCCCGACCGGGGGCTGCTCCCGTACAGTCAGGCAGCCGTTGCCTTTAGAATCACCACCAGGCGAGACGTGCATTGTACTACGAGATTCTGTTTTTCGTTTATAGCTTACGTTACTATGTACACTTAATATTCCATAAATCCACTGCAGCAGGACTTTCCTTATGCGCGCAAAGATTACTGCGTGACTCACACACGTGCTGACACTTTCTTTACAGTGAGGTGTGGTTGCTGTTTTTAACGATAATCTACTCATCTAGCCCTCACTAGCTAGAAAGTAATATATTTAAGTTATCTACATATACTGCCATGCTAACGTTACTATCATTTGTAGCATGAAAGCACGCTGACAGACACCGTAAGTTCACACCGTGTACCCAACTAACAAAAAAAGACTGTTTCACATAGAACATTACAATGGGCACGGAGCGTCCTTCGGTCTAGCGAGAGCTCCCAGGCACGAGTGAGGCGCACACTGCACAAGTCCAGAGCACCGCTGAGCCTCTGCCGACAGATAACGCATCCCTTACTTGGGCCAAGCACAGTGGGCAGTTCAGGCAAAATCAATAGGGTTGTCCTTAATCAAACAGCAGCTAAGTGCCTACAAGGCTTCCCTCTGTGTGGTTTCAGAAGGAGATGATTCTGTAATATCCTGAGGATAAAAAGCAGCTAAACATCAGGGTACTTTTAAGCAATGAGATTATGTGACCAAACCATCAGCGTGGATGCCACAGAGAAACAATAAAAGGATGTAGCACAAACACTCCAGCATCGGGGAAATAAGTCCTGCACCTCAACTGCTACCGGCCTGGGGCCACTTGCCATCCGGCGAGCCTTACCCTGCCCCGTCCCTCAGGTTACATCCCACCCGGGCTGCAGGTACCCTGCGAACCCGACCACCCTCCTCCTGCACCCAACTCCTGACCCTCCTGCCCCGAAGGGAGCCTGGTGTCCCGCAGCAGGCGGGCGGTAGCGCAGCCCCACCACAGCAGGCACTGGCCTCTGCTCCGACTTCTCCACCTCCCTCCGGACACAGGATTACAGCCCGAGCCACGGGCTCCCTCCAGCAGCAGCGTGATGACCTTTAACGCTCTCACGTATGGCGGCAGCGAAGCTCCCAAAGGCACAGCCAAAGCCAAGAGGTTAACACAAACAGGTTCCGAATGCAGGCAGTCCCAAAGCTCACCTCCTTATCTTCGTCGGGTGCGCTCACACAGGGAGGACGGGACAGGTTTCTGCAGCCAGCTCCGGCTGCAATACTTTATGGTCTTACTCATTCTCACTTAGAGGTACAACCTTCAACTACTCACTGCTGAGACACACGCGACTCCTCCTCAGAAGTCCGAAACTACTAAACAAAGAAATTCCTGCCCAGACTGAAAGCGGAATCGGCACCAAACACAAGCCGTTTGCTCCCGCAGCAAGCCCTGAACCTGCCAGCGCGCTGCCAGAACAGCTTCGCTGTCAACAAAGCCCAAAGCCCCCCCAGCGCTGATCCAGGCAGGAAGATGGCAGGAGTTTTACCAGGCGATATTTTTACACCCAGCCGCGTACGCACGCCCCGCTACGCAAAATCCCACCCCTGGCGGGGGGCGGCCCGCGGCCGGTGCACCGGCAGCACCCAGGCCGGCCGGGCCGGGCCCC